CAGCAGGAGACCGATGCAGTGCCAGTTAAAGTTAACCCCCATTGAGTAATGCCTGTGCAATGCAGTTTTGCTGTGCTGCTTGTGAATTAAATGCATTGTTACGGTAATTATCTCTGGGGTGGGCTTTCCCCACCCTTGCCTCACCCCACCCTGAGCGGGAAGACTGCACAGCCCAAAGACTACACCAAGGTGAGGTAGGATGGGTTGAACATTGGGATGGATTGAACATTGAATTGCCAAGAAGGCCAATGGTACCCTGGGGTGCATGAAGAGGAGCGTGGCTAGCAGGGCGAGGGAGGTTCTCCTCCCCCTCTACTCTGCCCTGGGGAGACCCCACCTGGAGAACTGGGTCCAGTTCTGGGCTCCCCGGTTCAAGAAAGATGAGGAACTCCTAGAAAGAGTCCAGAGGAGGGCAACTAGGATGATAAAGGGACTGGAGCATCTCCCCTGTGAGGAAAGGCTGAGAGAGTTGGGCTTGTTCAGCCCGGAGAAGAGAAGACTGAGAGGGACCTCATCAACACGTACAAATATCTTAAGAGTGGATGTCACGAGGACGGAGCCAGACTCTTTGCAGTGGTGCCCAGCACCAGGACAAGGGGCAACGGGTGCAAACTGAAACATAAGAGGTTTCAGTTGAATGTGAGGAAAAACTTCTTGACTTTGAGGGTCCTGTGGAGTCTCCTTCTCTGGAGATATTCAACCCCCGCCTGGATGAAGTCCTGTGTAACATGCTCTAGGACAACCTGCTTTAGCAGGGGGGTTGGACTGGGTGATCTCCCGAGGTCCCTTCCAACCCTTGCCATTCTGTGATTGAAGTGTCCACGGTTCCACTCCCGCTGCCACGTCTGCTCGTTTTAACGTAACAAGTGTTACTGCTCTGATGCTGTGGGTGGATCTTAAAGACCAACCCCTCTTGGTGTGTGAAGTGCCTCTGGCCTCTCGTGAGCTGCAGGCAAGCGGCAGCACGGACGCCTGGTGGGCTGGGATCAGGAGCCCGCGTGCCACATCGCTGTCTTAGGGTAGTGTTGTAATAAGGATTGAAATTTGAAAGGACAGCTAGTGCAAACCTGCCAGAAAGGGGTCATGGCTATTTATCAGCCCCGGCCTAAATCTATCAACTTACTTGTTGACAGCAAAAGACAACTTTTGCTACCCTCTCCCCTTCCCACGGTGGATCCTGTGCATGTTTCCCTTGAGCCTGTGAGCAGGCACAGGCAAAGGCGTTTTTGTGTAGGTATTTCCAAAGGTACCTTGCAGGATTTTGTTAGCATTTAAAAGCTTGTTAAAAGTTTAATTTTAATTGACTTTTGAAACTTGAATGTATTGGAGTGCTGTAGAAAAGCACATCCCTTGTGCTGTTCAGCTGTTACATGGCTCATCTATCTCTAAGGTACATAGAATATAAATTTTGCTTTGAGTTGTTGAGTATTAAGCTTTGGTCTGGTTGTCTCTTGCCATGTGTATTGCAATTACGCATCGCAAAAAGCCACATATACCAGCACTGCAGCATACCTTGAGTATCGCAGAGGGGTTTTGAGATGCTCCGTCTTATCTCTCGGCTCTCAGCTTACTTCTTATCTTGGCTGCTTACCCAGGTTTAACATAAGCCAGCTGGAGGAATGGCTGCGTGGGAAGAATCTGCAGCAGAGTGGAGCGGCACAAACTCTGGAGCCTTTGATTCAGGCAGCACAGCTTCTGCAGCTGAAAAAGAAAACCTCGGAAGATGCCGAGGCCATCTGCTCCTTGTGCACATCGCTCACGACGCAGCAGGTAAGGAGCAGGGCATGGATTCACACCAGAGGGTATTGATAATTAAAGGAGTGGGGAAGGGTGGTCTCCTGGTGCCAGCTCTTCACTGCCCAGACTCAGCATGCCATTCCCATGGTGGGGACAACTTCTCCTCAGGACTGACGTTTGGTATTGACCCTGTCGGAGGCAGTCATCATAGCATAGAATCGTTTAGGTTGGAAAAAGCCCTTTAAGATCATCAAGCCCAACCGTTCCCCTACCCCTGCCATCCCACCACTAAACCCTGGCCCTAAGCATCCCATCCCACCCCCAACCCCTGGCCCTCAGCACCGCCTCTGCCCGGCTGTTAAATCCCCCTAGGGGTGGGGACTCGACCCCTTCCCTGGGCAGCCCCTTCCAGTGCCTGACAGCCCTTTGGGGAAGGAATTGTTCCCCATGGCCAACCTCACCCTGCCCTGACACAACTTGAGGCCATTTCCCCTCCCCAGTGCCAAGTAGAGGGTGGCTCCTCTCTTACACTGCCACTAATGGCGCTGGAGCTCCAGCAGAAATGTTCAAAGATGAAACCCAGCCCTGAAGAGTTCATGGTGTAAGTCAGACGCTTGGGATTTTAAACCCACCTATTGTTTTTTGCCAGGGTCTAACCTGGCTAGGTCTGCAGGATGCGCAGCAGGGACTCGTGTTTGGGGCAGGAGGTTGAGAACTGCCCACCTAGGCTGGCTGGATCTGACCTTAAACTTTGAGACTCCACTCCAGAAGGATATAAACTCATGTTCTTTGCTGCTTGATTGCCTGGCCTTAATTTGATAACATCATAGCAAGGGAGAAGCGAGAGGTGTGAGCTGGTCTTCTGTGATTCTTGGGGATCCTTTCTCCTGTATCTCCATCTACCCATTTATAACACATGTTCTTAAGGGGTGGTAGGGGAGGAGCAGGAGTGAGGTGGTAGCATGAGGAGAAGTGTTCTAGAGGTGACATCAGAAGTACAGGGAAGTGGTCACCCATGTCACCATGTGCCAACCAAGTGGAGTCCCTGCATAAATCTGATGTTCAAGTCTACAAATGTTGCCGTAAGTGACTTTAACAGGTCCACAGATGCTTACCATGCCTTACAGCAGGCAAAGGAACACCAGGACGCCACTTGTGCTACTTTTGCTTCTCAGTAGTGTCATAGGAGACGTGTTACAGCCGTATCAAGACAAAATGTTAGTGGCACTTTGCATCCTGGAAAAGTTTGGCTTCTCATGACTGTCCATAATCCTATTTTTTTTTCAACAGATTGTAAAGATACTTAATCTCTACACTCCTGTGAATGAGTTTGAAGAACGTGTGACAGTCGCTTTCATACGAGACATACAGGTAAATTAAAGGGCTGTAAAGTGGCCAGTACTAATGACATCTGTGTTAAATCATTACCAAGTCGGGTGTTTTGTAATAGGCATGCTGCTGCATGAATTTAGTGCTCTGCGTGTGCACACGCTTGCTTGCAACACAGAGCTCCAGGGATAAGCAGGCTGTTAATCACAGAGAGCGATCAGCACCTAAGTTCCCAGCTCAGCTAACGCAACGCTCTTTAGTAGCCACGTGACTCAGAAGTTCAGGTTGCAGGAGTCAGCAAAGCGTCGGTGAAATGGAGTTACTTCGGAGAAACGAGGCAGAAATCAGCAACTAAAGGGAAAATAAATAAATTAAAATCAAACTTCTTTTAACGCTTGCAAGGAGGAGGTAAGGAATGGAACTGGAAATGTGTTTGACCACTCCTAGAATGTCTCCATCGCGAAGCGGCTGAATCAAAAGTGGTCTGCTGGTATCACGCAGTGCTGCTTTTGCTGTGCAAGGGGAACGTGTTGTTTCCAAGTGCTGTCTCTTGCTTCGTGGTCACGTAGAAAATGTAGCCAGGTTCTTCTGAAGCAGCGTCTCCTATAGCCTGTGCAGAAGTTCCTGTAAACGTTTGCCCAGAGGAAGGCTGCTACAATAGAGAACACAGTAGTTCTGGTTTTGGCAGGATCTCTAAAATCATATACATTCTCAAACCTGTGATGATGGTAAATGTGACAAATGCAAAGAAAAGGCAACAACTGCTACTAAATTTGTTTTCTTCTCCCATCCCTCACAGACGCACTTGCAAGAGCGAAATGACCCTCCGCAGCTGCTGTTAGACTTCAAGCACATGTTCCCAGTTTTGTTTCCGTTCAACCCATCCTCCATAACCATGGACTCGATTCATCTCCCTGCTTCTCTCAACTTGGAATTTCTCAATAAAGTCTGAAGAAAGTAGAAGTAAGCCCACCTCTCCTGCCCAGAGACCTCCAGCGAAGAAAGAAAAAAAAAAAAAAAAATCAGAGAAGGCATTTAAGGAGCTCTTTAAATACGGACCAAACAGGTTTATGGAAGAACCAATACACAGTAATAAATGGATGCTAAACTGTACAGTAAAAAAAGAGACTGATCTGTATGTGATTTTCTTTTTGGTAATTTGCAGCTCAGAATAAGGATACTTGAAATGTAGATTTATTTTTTACTGCTTGATTTTATGTTGACGTGGCTCAAAGCCCATCATCCTCTCCAAAAGCCACTAACAAAAAAGAATGGTGAGTGGGAGACTTTGATCTTCGTAGGTGTCTATGAAGAAATGAGAGTTTAATCAAAAACCAAATCTGAGACACTTATGCTGCCTTGAAGGACACGTAATTTGTCAACAGCTAGGTGGTTTTGTATGTATTAATAACGGGACATGCAATTCTGCCTCATGTTCTTGCTAGTAACTGTCACGATAGTGAGTTCAGAAAGTAAATTGCAGAAGGTGCAATATGTATTTATCACGCCGGTTAAGGTGACGGGCTTGGACGGTGCTTGACGTGGAATTTGTCATACATTCTGTGTCTGAGAAATGCCATTGCTCTTCCTAGCTACATCCAGTGCATCTGCTTCATGGGAATGGAAATAAACTGGCAGTTTGGACTTTCTTCCGTTACCAAATTTACATCAGTGACTTGCAAAGGTTTTGTCCTAATGAAATAAACTCGAGACAAGGGACTGCCTCAGGCCTCCCGCTTCTGGTATAGACGAGCATCATCCTGATCCCTACTGGTGGATTTCCCCGTGCTTTTAAAAGTCAAAAACTTTCACGCAGTGGTTTTTGAGGGTCTCAGACCTCCTACCTGGCCTGCGCCAGAATCTCATGCAGAGATAAGACGTGCTAAGGCAGCCCGGTTTAATCATCGGCTCCCCTGTCCTACTCATGTTCAGAGGGTTAGTCCTAGCCACAGCAGCCCATGGAAAAATTCTATTTGGTTCAACAGCCATCGGAAATTCTACCAGGTGTGCAAATACAGGGCTTAGACAAATGAAGAATACTTTAAAAAAGAAAAAGAAGTTTTAAAATGAAAGGGAATGGATAAGCAATGGAATGTTTTAACACAAAACCGTTGTAAGATAGTGTGTTAGTAATGTAAGCTCTAAGAGTGAACGTCAACTCTTGGTCTACAACAACCTTAAACAAGTAACTGCAATAAATTCAAATTCTGTTAGGATTTTTTTTTTTTACCTATTTATAAATAAAACCAAACCAACCCCCTGACCTCACCAGGTGGATGTTGAAAGGGGCCAGCTACTTACAAAAGCAGTCATTGATTTTTATTTTTTTTTTCTCAGCTGCTCTCCTTGCCAAGAAAGGGAAAAGGTGGGTTCCTGAGGCTGCGTGATGCTGTACAACCATCCTGATGGTGATGGGTCGGCAAACCGTTCGGAGCAGCGATGCTCCTGCCGTAGCTCAGCATGCCAAAATGCAGCGAGAACACTTGGCAGCAGCGAAAGCCCCGCTCATCCTAGCGCTGTGTGAGCGTTTGGGGCCTTTCCACTTCCGTAATGCTCTTGCCCAAGTAGATCTTAACTTTAGCCATGGTTGTGGTTCCTGAGGTCTCGGCAATTCCATGGTGGTTGAGAGCTTTCAAAAGGAAAATAAAACTAACCAAACCTCTCTGCATCTGACTGCTTTTAGCTGGTGTAAGTCACATCCAAACAGCAAATTTACGGTTGGGTACCCTGTCTGCTCAGAGGATTAAGATAGAATGTGAAGTCTCTTAAGGATACGCCAAATCCTGCTGTGCTGCAGTCACCTTTTTTAGATCAGGAGTGTGTTTTGATTTAGCCATCATGTATATAATCTATGTATATACAAATTGTATTAGTCCTGTATGTACTATATATGTATATTACTATCCAAAAGCACATTTTTAAAGAAAAAGTTGAGTGCTGTGAAGAATTATATTGGTCTATGCTGGTGGGTAAATCCCTTGTTGCCAGTGGATTATGGTTTAGTATGGCTGTTACCAGTGAAGGACAGGCTTACGGCCGTTCCCTAAGGGAGAAGTTATCTTTTCCTCTAACCGTCGCCCAGCTCATTTACAGAAGAAAATTTATTGCTTGTATAGTACCAGCACTACCTCCAAACTCCAGCCCTTGAGCATTTGCATCTACTGCGTGTATTCAGTAGTGCCTTCATATCTCCCCTTCATACACAGTAAGGATAACGCCACCGTTTTGCTGTCAGTGCCCAGCAAGCCCGTGCTCTTCTGTCCCTTGCTCATCTACAATATTTTTATTTATTGTACCTACCTCTTTCCACGTTTTGCAAATGAATGTTTTTTGCAGTGCTCTGAATTTTAATTTTTTTTTAATTGTATCCAATCCCTTTTTTCCCCCACTACAGTAGTCAGCACAGTTTAAAAATAATAAAAATTTCAAAGCAGAATTCAGTCTTTCTGTAAGGCGGTTTTAATGGAAAGCGAGTCCTCAGAATTCATCTTAGGCCAGCAGTTTCCTCTCGGGCTCTTCAGGTCTCTACCTCTCTCCGATGTAAATTATTCAGAGTACAATTCCCAACAGATTGATGAAACCAATGCTTATCGTTGACTAAGCGACAGGTTGCTGCAGAATCCTCTTCCACCGTGATTTTGTTGCTGATCACAATTATAAAATGGGCCTTCTAGGGGATAGTGGTCTTTCACTGGTGTTTTCAGGATCATAATTTACATGTACAACAAAAAGACTTCCTTAAAAACTCTTGGTATGTATAGATGGGAACTGGGATTTAACGTCTGGACCTGTGATAACATAGTTTATCCATTAAAATGCATCTGGAAGGGGACTCTGTATGAAATATCTTTAATACGTGTTATTTTTTCTGTTAGCAGTTTTTAAAAATTTGGTTTTAAACGTTAATTTCGTTAAATTGCTATGCTCAAGCATGCCTGCCTTTCCTCAGGTTGGCACTTTTTTATTTAAAAAAAAGAAAGCCAGTTTAACACAAAGCGCAGCTTTGAGAAAGCTGGCTGTTTTCCAGCTCTGTCTTTATTGTTAAATATTGTTAAGTTGAGCATTTTCCCACTCTGTGCCTTTAGCTGTTACTGAGGTAACTGACTTCTCAACCGCTCTAGCTCTTTCTCCGAAACAAGCGTTAAAACGTGGGAATATTTTTATTGTTCTGTCATAAAATAAGTTGTCTGTGGATTTATAAGTCTGATTTATAAAAGCTCCCTCTGAGGAGGTCTGCAAAAACACTTGGAAGTTACTCAGAAAAAACCCTATACTCATCCATACTGATTTTTACATGTAAAATGCATCTCAGAAAAGCACTATGGGGAATGAAAAAAACCCCAAAAAATCCCCCACAATGAACCCCCCCAAAAAGCAAATCACAGAAACCACCACAGCTACGCAACCACCACCTCAAATGCAAGTTCAGGCCGTGCCGTCTGACCTACGAAAAGCATCCGCAACAACGTCCGTGCTTCATTTTCACCAAAAATTTGATATTTATTTTTTTTCCTTCTGTTTTACTGGCATTTTGTAGCCGAGGCTGCTTATCTTTTGGCTGGTAAAGCTGTTGTAGTAGTTGATGGCAGAAAAGAACGTTGGACCTCCAGACTGGATTTCTGCAATTCTCCATCCTAAACGTTTTTTGCTCATACAACTCATTCCACTGTAACTGCACGGACTTCTTGTGTGAGCGAAACTGTAACGAAATGGGGGCACGCTGCCGAGTTGAAGCACACACAGTCGCTACCTTTCCTGATCCTGCAACTCCAACGCTGAAATCACATTGCTACCTTAACGTCTTTGTCCAGTTGTGTGATTTCCAGAAGATACAAGTGACAAAGATGTGCTCGAAACACCAGGGGTTTTCCTCCATTTTCAACGGTGAATGAGCAAAACTGTGCAAACTTATTCTCTGAGACCATATTTAATGGAAAAAATTCAATTTTCCATTGCATATAAATAACACCTCATTAAAATTGCATGAACCTTTTTCCTCCAGCTTTATTGATTCACATACATTCATTATAAATTGATTTTTTTTTTCTTTGCCCCTGAAAGAAGTTCTAGCAATGTAAAGTAAAACAAGCCAGAGGATGCCCAGTGAGTACGCCATTTATTTCAATGCCAGTGGACAAAAACCTTTCAAATTAAGTTGAAATTAGGAAAAAAAACCAAACTCCAAATTATCAAAAAATGTGCTAGTACAGTGCAATGTCTATTTTGTTTGTTTGGGGGTTTTGGGGCAGGGGGGTGTGGTGAAGTCTCATTACCTTAACAAGCAGAAGGTATAGCTGCTCTCGGAGAGGTCGAATGATACACAGGAGTGAATACTGTAGATGAAATACTACTGCTTATAAAATATTTTTCCATTTGGAACAAATCTGTAAACTACACCTTTGTTTATAGGGAAATGCTTGTAATAGTCACTGTAATATTCAGCTGTGGATAAAGAAAAAATTTGTGAAATAAAGACTTTTGAAGAAATCGTGACTTTTGGTCAAAAATGGGAATGTCAAAAATACACCGTTTAGTATTTGCTTCCCTATGTTGGAAACGTTTCTAGTTAAAACCACCAGGGCAGGTTTAGGAAAAATTCCTTCCCCGCAGCTGTGGATAAAGAAAAAATTTGTGAAATAAAGACTTTTGAAGAAATCGTGACTTTTGGTCAAAAATGGGAATGTCAAAAATACACCGTTTAGTATTTGCTTCCCTATGTTGGAAACGTTTCTAGTTAAAACCACCAGGGCAGGTTTAGGAAAAATTCCTTCCCCGCAAGGGGCTGTCAGGCACTGGAAGGGGCTGCCCAGGGAAGGGGTTGAGTCCCCAGCCCTGGGGGGATTTAACAGCCGGGCAGCCGAGGTGCTGAGGGCCAGGGTTTGGGGGTGGGATGGCAGGGGTAGGGGAACGGTTGGGCTGGGGGATCTGAAAGGGCTTTGCCAACCTCAATGG